AAAAAAAAAAAAAAAAACATCTCTCGCTAACATATCAACATATTTTACAAAGACAACGTAATTTTTTTGTGGCATCTTGTAGGATCTGACAGGCCTGGAGCAGATGTTGATCAACTGCTCCAAGACTCTCCCAACAAACCTGACCCTGCTCCACCTGGTGAACCCCACTCAGGAGACCTACTATGACCCCAGCATGGTGAGACACATTTAAAACTTGTAGCCTTGAAATGAAAACGGAAAAAGTGGACTTGTAGCTGAATTATCTGGCTCTGATTTTCTGTTTTTCAGCCCCCTGTTACAAAAGGCCTAGTCCTCCACTGTAAGCCCATCACAGAACGCATCCTTAAAGCCTTCAGAGACCAGAATAAGTACAAGTGTGTCTTCAAGCACTGCTCACATAGTAAAATTCAGATGTTCGGTTCTTCTGTTGCTCACGAGTCTTCTGTTGGACAGGTTCGAGATCATGGGAGAGGAGGAGATAGCGTTCAAGATGGTGCGGACCAACGTGTCGCATGTGGTCGGCCAGTTAGACGACATCAGGAAGAATCCGAGGTCTGCACAAATCAATTTTCCCTCTTAACACCTTCCACATACTTGTTGTTAAACTCTTAACGTCTATATTTCAACAGGAAGTTCATCTGCCTCAACGACAACATCGACCACAGCCATAAAGACGCTGCCACAGTGAAAGCTGTGCTCAGAGACTTTTACGAATCCATGTTCCCGCTGGCGTCCCAGTTTGAGCTGCCCAGGGAATATCGCAACAGGTTCCTGCACATGGACGAGCTCCAGGAGTGGTGCGTTACACTGTTTGTTTCTTTGCACCGTTGCCCACACAATTACTTCAAATCTCTGGCAGTAGCAGGAGTGCAACAGATTTAGAGTGACAGGTCCACGGGAAACGGTGAAAGACGAGTTCTGCTGTGAGACAGAGAACTGCATTGATGCCACTCGCTGGCATCGGTCAGAGTTTTGTGATGGAGAGACAATGATGACATCTTCGCATTACTTCAGCTTACAACTCGCCTGGCCCTCAAAGAGAGCTGCTTCTTCCCCAGTCAAATAAAAGTCACTTGGCTCATTCCAGGGACGGCAACACACGAGGAGGAGACTGTTTAATCAACAGAAAAGTGCCTTTAAGTTAAATGGGAGTATGGGGGTCTGAGGGAGAAAAGGAGGGATGAAATGAGAAAAGGAGGAATTTTATCAAGAAGTATTTTATGTAAAAAACATTCCTTGATCTGGATCTGCTCCGAAGTGTAATGGAAAAAGTCACGGAGATCAGTTAGGTGGTTTTTGAGCTGTGGAAATGTAACGTCCTTGGCGGAGTTAATGATAGAAAAGCTCTAAATCCTCCCACTAGAGAAAACGACACAAGTGCCTGTTGATAAGTGACTTAACGATCGGATCATGTCGCCCATTAATTTTCTGCCAACTAATTAACTCACAGACGACGAGAACTGATGTTTGAAAACCGCACATACCAGAACTGAAGTGGGGTCCTTGTCGCTTGTGTGCTGGTAATTTGTCAAGGTCTTGTTTTTTTTTTCTCCTGTCGCTCTGAGTTAAGAATTTGTGGCTGTCACCACGCGAGGGTGGAGCGTTGCCAGGTCGGCGCAGTGGGAATCCCTCAGGGGCTTTAGAGGTTTTTTTTTTCATGGCTCCTGCTCCTGTGTTCGTGCCGACCTCGCTAACAGACTGTAAAATTAGACCACACTGCTTAAGATCAGCCGCAAGCTTCAAGATACTTGTAAGATCATCGCACAGCTGAGCCTCTCGTCCCCCCCCCCCTCCCTCTGTGTCTGGGTTTGTCAAGTGACAGGCGGATGGCGTTGGGTGATGTCACCTTGTCACCCTGTTGCCCTGCTGACCTCCGGATAATGCATACTGCCGTCGCGTTATATAATATCACAATGAGCCTCTCCTCCCGCGAGACGTCTCGATCAGGGATCATATATTCTACATCTGTATCTGTTGACGTTGGATGCGGAGCCGACGCATGACGTCCGCTTCTTTTATTCAAAACTGACTGATTTATTTTTCCTCAGGCGGGTTTATCGAGACAAGCTGAAGTTCTGGACGCACTGTGTCCTCGTGACGCTCGTCATCTTCACTGTCATGTCCTTCTTCGCTGAACAGGTCAGTGCGTCCACACACACCTTTATTTACACATTCAGAAGAAGACACACACACACACCTCACTTTCCATGATTCACTCTGGAGCTATGATTTTAAACCTCCGTTAGTGGAATTGCACTGAGAGGTGGGTCCGTCTCATGTGTCGCACGACTATGAAGAGCTGAGCCAGGACCTGACATTACAGAAATGAAAGACCCCCAGTTGTCCTCTGTGAAAGGCGAGACTTGTCACTCTTTGTTGACTTGGATCACACAGTTCTTGTATTTACTTTAACCTGCTTTCCTGCCAGGTAAGTGGCATCTCTGGCTGTACAAGCGTCCGAAGAATTCTAGCAAATCTGGATCGTGTTCTTCGATGTCAAACTCTCCCACCAAGTATTGAAAAACGAATTCTGCTCGACATTGAGCTCTCGTGAGGCACTTTCTTAATCCAAAGGTTTCCAGTTTCTCCTCGAGGCGAACATAAAGAAAGGTTAATAGTTGCAGTGACCTGAGGAGAATTTCCCCCCCACGCAGGAGCTGGTGGGACCAGTTCTCCCAGTGAGGAATGGGACAGACTTGTCCGCCGTGTCTGTCACCTCACAAAGACTTGTGATGTTTCTGAACGAGACCAGTCGGCTGGTCTCTCTGTCCCAAACAGGATTTTAAGCTTTGTGAAGTTTAAACCAGATCCAGGAGGCGACCGTCGTCCTGAGGCGATGTGTGTGATGTCTTTATTTACAGAGGGGAGGTCCCGCATGGTAACCAGGGGTCGATAGTTAAAGAAACATAGTTGTTGAATTATCTGGCAGATAATGGATGGTAAAATGTTTTATCTCCACCAAAGAGGTTCTGTTTTTCCCCCTTTTGTTGTTTGTTCGTCAGCAGGATTTTACAAAAACTACAGAACTGATTTCCATGAAACTTGGTGAAAACCCTCTGTTCAGGGAACTGATATCTATGACTAATGTGGGGGCAGCTGGGGCCTTGGCGGAGGTATGCACTGTTCAGAATATAAGGTATATTGAGTTGAACCCTGGTTGGCTGATTAGTTTTTTGTTTCCATCGGAGGAATGGCACAGTAGTGACTTTTAAATACCGGGTCGGGCATTGGCGAGTACAGGAATCTATGTACTGATCTGATCCCACGTCTTTAGGGTATATTCCTTCAACCCAGGTATTACCTTCAATTTTATTGCTTCTTCTTTGCTGCATTATGCTGCCACGAGCAGGTACTGTTTTTAGAACGGCAAAGAAGAAGTGTTTTCTGGTAGTGTAGTGTGAGTCGGAGATGAAATATCAGCAGTTTGTTAATATTTCACTCTGGAAAGTTCCTCAACTAAAACCCTGACATGAACATGTGAGGTATTTTACATCGGCAAAGTCCAGGTTTCAGAAAAGAGAGAAAGGAAAAATGGCATCGGAATATCTTGAAAGCTTCCTGGTATCAATTTTCTGATCCGCCCCTCTGCCAGAAAATGATTTTGAGACGAGTATTTCCCGTATTTTAGTTAAACAGCTTCACCTTTCTCATATATGAGTCACTCTCATGCTGACAGACAACACAAGGCTTGTCTCCTCTTCCCTGCATGCAACTTCTAATTAAGCCGCTTCCTCTCTGCCTGCAGCTCATTCTGCTGAAGCGAAAGCTGTTCCCCAGACGCAGAGTGAACCAGGACATCAACCCCGAGCGGGTGTGATAGAGGGAGACCTCCCTCTCCTCCTCCTTTCTGCACTTCCACCTCCGCCCCTCTCTCCTCCCCGCTCAGTCGGGTGGATCCAGACGAGGAGTGGAAACAGGAACCCGACGTCCTCGATGCTTGTGTTTCATCAGCATGGACGGACATCAGAGACTCACACGTGAGATGAGACCTTTTTTTTTTTTCCCAGAAGATGATGGACAGGGCTGGTCGATGACCGGCAGAAGAAGCCTGTGCTCGTCCACTGGGGGCGTCAGAGACTTTCATACACAAACAAATAAACCAGAACAAGCTCCCCTCTCTACTGCACCACTCCTCATGTCCCGTCCTCTGTCACTGATCGATGTGTTGGAATGTCAAAAACTTGATCGGGCCGCGTGTGTGCACCACCACTGCAACTATTTCAAATATATATATTAATCAAACATGCCAAAAATAACGGTGCTCGTTAAAACTTTGATTTTCTGCGTTCTCCTGTTAAATCATCACAAATCGAGTAACTTGATGGTACGGACAGTTTTTTTTAAATAAATCTAAACATATGAAGATGTCACTTTGACACCCTGTTTTCAATTTTATAGACAAGATGATGAATTGATTAAAGTTAGGGTTGGTAAGTTGTTTCTTTTTCTCACCTTTTATCTAATTATTTATCTTATTCATTGAAATCCTCGTCCCGTCCAGACAGCCATCAAATATTAAGTGGTCTGATGAAAATCCCAGCCTGCACGTTAGGGAGCGAGTCACGACTCTGAGTTCATGTGTTTTGGGGGAATAGCTTTGACCAGAGGGCTGAGAGGAAGCTTTGGGTGTAGCCTGCTCTTGCTGGACCTTTTCCAGGATTACCAACCCTAGCTTTAATTCAGAAATAGTCTGCAGATGAATAAGATTCTTAATTTGTGTTTGGTTGTGTTTGGTGTTTACCTCTATGGCTTTATTTTAAAGGAAAGGAGCGTTGAGTACATGTAGGACAAATAGGAATAATTCTTTTATGTGTCGTTTTTGTCCGTTGTCGTAAAAACCATGAAAACTTGAAGTGCCTTCTTTGTTCACTCCTGCTCTCTTTGAACATTTGTTTTTTTAAACGTCTTCTTCTAAACGTAGACTCGTGCACATCACACCCTAACTTAGTGATTTACAATGAGAATGAAGGGGATAGAGGATAATATAATTATCATTCATTCTGTGGTACCAATGCATCTGATTGTCGGAGCTACGTGATGCTGCAACTGTCATGGCCGCCTGCACGTGTGTCCCCGTGGGACTCGACAGGATCGCTGCTGTCTGAAATTCAGACGCCCTCAGCATGTTCTGACTTATTTTCATTGTAATCGTGAGACAAGTGACTTGATGTGGTTTGATGTGAATGCTGCAGAATGAAAACATGCCCGTCACCTCTTCAAGATATTTTCCTCTGAATGTCACTTTTACTAACTTCTTTACTTTAATAATGTCAAACCGACACGGACTTGACTAAGGATGTTGTCAGCATGTTGCGTCACCGGGCGAGACGATGATTCATGTGTTCGGAAATGTGTTTACCTCAGATTGCATCAGTTGAATGGTTCCTCTGACTGAAATAAACGTCTGGTTCAGTCTTCTGGTTGCTTGTGACATGTGTTCGTGTTCTGTCATTGTTTAATGTTACATTTGCTGAAGTTGTTGAGTGTTTCCATTTCCTATTACTCATCAGCATTACACATAATCTCAGTCTGAGCCCTTCGGTTTGCAAAATCACTGCGATTACGCCACTTTAAACTTTACCTCCACCAACAGTAATAATCAGCGAACACACTGTACCTTTATCAAATTACTCACAGGGGTCATTCTTCTGCAGTCTTACCACCTTTCTTGTACTTGTATCTACATTTTTTTTGATTCATCTCAGTCCTGGCACTGACACTTTTCCCACCAATGACACGGACGACAAAAACACAGGAAAAATATTTTCTTTATTACAATCTTTTCCACTCGTGTCTGTTAGTAGAAAGGCGTCTTCCTATTATTCAACAGTGCAACATGGTGTTCAAATCAAGGTTATACGTCCTGATGCATAGTTCCACAGTCCATCCTCACTTATGCAAAATTAACTTTTTTTTTAGGACATTTTAAAGTCCACAATCCTGAAGAAACGTTATTATAGCAAATCAAGAAACCGAATACCGCTTTTTAATTTGTTTTTACCTTTAAATAATTTCCCGGCACTACAGAAATATCCCTTTTCATCCCAAATGCACCTGAATAATGAGTCCGCAATAATCAATAATTATAAAAATTACCGATAACCCAACAAATCTGCGAATGAATCACTCACCTATACATAATTTACATTTGTATAAGTGCAGAAGTGTCACGAGTGAACAGCTTCCGTTGTTACGCGACATTTCAGTGGAAAAAAAAAAAAAAGAACTTTAAATATGCACAAAGTTTAACAGTAATTACAACAAAAATATTTTAAGGCGTCTTCAGTTGAATTCTGTACAATCACATATAATTATAGTGTTAGCCCTTCAGGGAGAAGAACAGAGAAAGCAGGACGAGTCGAGTGTTAATGCTTCATCAGCTGACGGCACTAAAAGGCTGCAGGTAACATTGTTATATCTTTATTTTCTGTCTGTAGAATGAGATGAAATAACTGATGTTTGTGAGAGAAGCCCGATAGAAAACCGATCAGCGTTTTCAGCCTTAACACAGACCGCTACCCCTTCACGCAGCCCACTGACAATCTGCCACATCACAAACTTCACTGGAAATTATTTTGAGGTTTTTAAGGTCATTTTTTTTAATCTGTAATTTCAAACCGATTCATTTCCGATTGATTCGCATTCATTTAATAAATAAAAACAGAGAGATTAAGAGACGTTTCGATGGCTTCTCTTCTCAGTTTGGGCAAATATCAGTGATTTATTGATCACTTTTGATCGTCACGTGTTTAATATGCGACAACTGTAATATGAGTTAATACTTTTAAATTCAAAGCCGATAAAAATGCTTTGATATTTGCCCACGCTGTAAAAGAATCCGTTGAAAAATAAACATTTGGTATTGAATTGTAAAGAGTACCTTTTTAACGTAAAAATCTATCTTATTTATTTTGACATACACTCATGTTTAAATTAAAATTATTTCAAGGTAAACTCTGATTCCGCCTTCTTTCTAATTCCACACATCCGAGCTTTTCGAACATTTCTGTTATTATTTTTTTGGTTTGTAGAGTCCAGTTGGTTTTATTTTTGAATTTTTTCCTGTCTGCTCGTAGAGGCATTTTGTTTTAATCAGAAGTGGTCACTTTGTCAAGGCTGCAGTGGCTCAGGGTCGAGGGTCGCTCCTCACCTTCATGGTCCTCGTCTGCTTCCAGGAGCGGGGAGAGGTCCATGTCTCCCCCCGCCTCCTCCCGCCGGGCAAGCCGTCAGTCACGGTGTGTGTGGCCCGGCGGCGTGATGCTGAAGACTTGGATGCGCAGGTGGGAGGCGATCTGGATGCACACGCCTGTGCAGTAGCGTATGAGATCCAGAAGAGAGAGGATCTGATGGAAAAAAAAAAAAGAAAAGATTAGGAACTTCATTAACTGTGAATGACGAAACAGACAATTAACAATTTTAAATATATCTATATTACAGTACTACTTTTCAGTTTTTAAAACTACTTTTATTTTGTACTTGCTTATTTATTCCCATTATATTTATGACCCAGATATGTTCCTGCTCTCCTCCTCATTACCGCCTGTGTTGGACTCTGCTCTCCTGTAAATGACGAGTTAAGTTACTTGAAGTTTGTTAATATTATTCTTTTTCATAATCTTTGCCAAGTCGGTTTTGTTTTCAAGGCTTTTTGTTTGTGTGTGAACAGGATTTCTCAAAAACCACAGAACTGATTACCATGAATTGTTGTGGGGGGATGGGTTATGACCCAATGAAGAACAGATCTAGATAAACAAGTAGATCCAGGAATTACTTTCATTATCACTGCCTCCTCTGGTTCTGTGTCATTGTATGATTACTATTACTATTATTATGATTAATGGCATGAAGGTAATTTCTCACGCGACATCTAGACGTGTCAGAGCAGGACATCACAGGTGTAAGTGATCTACTAATTCACAGGGAGTCATTGTTAGCATGATGAAAAACACTTGGAGCTTCCCTGAGCTCTGACAGATTTTCATTTCGCTGCTTCAGTCCCCTGGAACACTTCAAGGTAACGTTTCTACTTCTCCTACTTTGACATTTCATAAAGTCTGCTGTGACAAAAAAAGGAAGAAGACAAAAACACAGAACTGCTGCTTTTCTAGCAGACACAAAAAAACATAACCTCCTTGGTGGCGGTAACGGGTAGCTTTAAGTATTACGGGACGGCAAAGGCAGATTTATCTAACGTCGTCTCATCAGTGTGAAGGGAAGCGTGCGTTGTACCATGACCTGCAGTCAACTGGGCTCACCTGTCCTGCAGGTTTCTGCTGCGGCTCCACGCCTGCTTCAATTAAACCGTTTAAATAATAAATAGCTCTGAACTGAAGCAGATAATCCTGGAGAATAACTGTGAAAATGTTTGGTCGGTTTTCTGCTTCACTGACACATAACTGTGACTTTGAAACCGCCTTGATGCATCTCTGCATTTCCTCAATGGGGCGTGTGTGTGTGTGTGTGTGTGTGTGTCATGAAGCGGTGACATGTTTGTTTAATACTACACTTGAAAAACACAGAGCATTAAACAACAGCAAATATGCATTTAAATATTTACTTAACCTGATACACAGGTTACAGTTTCAATAACATTATCCTCTATACATTTGAGTAGAGCTGAATCTCAAACACTTGATCATAGACAACTGGGAGACACAGTGAACACAGGTCAACAGTCTGTCAGTTAAGTGGCTGCACTTTGTACATGACAAGTTGATTAGTTTGTCAATGGTATCTCAGCAAAGGCAAAGGTGACAAATAAACAAAAGGGGCTTTCAGATTTAAGATTTACTTTTCAAATAAAGTAGGAAACCTCTAAAGTTCGATGAAAACAAATGCAAATTGCATTGTGGGAAATGAAGGACCCTGTGTTTGTTATGCTCGGCCCATATTTGAAACTAAAAGCCAGGATATGTATGAGTCAGAAGAGCCTTTTACATTTTGGTGTGGATCCAGGACACTTTTTAAAATAACTTTAACATTGCAACATTATTCAACATTTTCACTGATTTCTCAGAGAATAATTCATAACCTTGTGTCCCCCTTTAAAGAAGAATAAACCTTATACTGACCGTGGCGATCCAGAGGACGCTGTACTCGTCTATAAAGCTGTTGAAGTATTGGTTGAGGAAGAGGAGGCCGGGGCCTATAAAGGCCGAGTCCGGGAGGTGCAACTCACTCTTGGTCATGTGTGCTATCTAAAGAAGAGACACAAGGAAACCATAAACCACAAGCACTAAACAACATGGAGGAATAAAAGTATATAAAGGATGATTAAAGATCAAATCAAACGTACCACCAGTTTGTTGGAGATCTTGGCAATGACCATGCCGAAGGAGAGCAGGTAAAGACAGGGGTGGTGCTCAAACAGGAGGCTGGAAGACTTCTTGAAAATGATGAAGGCCAAGGTGAGGATGAGGCCGATGTGCAAACCAGGACTCAGCACGCTGGTGTCCTACACAGCGGGATTGTTTATTAGTCATGACACATGCTTTATAAGGTCAGGCAACGCATGGATCTAAACATGTGTTGACTTACAGCCACAGTGGAGCCGTTCTTGCCAACGCCTCCGTTCAAAATGACATAGAAGTAGTTGTAGCAGGAGTAGAGGGCCCCTCCGATGATGCCCACGATGGGGAAGACGTACAGCTTCAGTCCAATGATGGGCAGCTACAGAAACACATGAAGGTCAAATTAATGCCAAGACAGAGAAGCCTTCTAACAGAGATAAGAAATGGTGCTCATATGAAAGCTGCAGGCATGCTGAGCATGATGGGAGGGCAAAGCAACAAAAAAAACATAAATAAATAAAATAAAATATGCGGGTGACATCATCAGCTTTTTGAGCCAGATCATGTCCAGTAGATGACCTGTTGCCATGGCGTTAGCTACCCATATTTACCTTCTCACTTCTCTCATGTGATGTTAAGTCAAGCCTCCAAAGGCAGCAGAGTGAAAGTAAAACACAAATTCTATTTAAAGTGTAGAAAGACGACTAAAAACTAGGAATTGATGCAGATAAGATTAGTGTGAAAACTAAAGAATCTCTCACTATACACTCATGGTGAAATGAAAGTGTTCCCATGTGTGTGGGTGTGGAAAGTATTTGCAGACGTGTAAATGTGACTGTACAAATATTTTCTCCTCGGTTACCGTAGATTGCCAAAGGCTCACGCCGCCGAAAGCCGACATCAAATACATGACCATGATGGCGAACTGCACTTCTGTGACGTCCACCCTGAGCAGAGAGTAACAGCGAAGAGTGAGTTTAGCTTTAGCTGAAACAAAAGAGAAGCTTAAGTTAAACAGTTGAAGACCAGGCACATGTAACGCTGCTGAACACGGGACTCACAGGCCGAAGCGGAGAGTCCCGGACACGTAGGTCTGCCAGTGTGCGCAGAAGAACATGAACATCCCAATGAAGCCGCAGAAGAACATCCAGTCAGGGAATCTACCGATTCCACACGAGATGCATGTTCCGATTGCAACAAACACTGCCGGGGGACAGAGAGAGAAAGTGACTGTTAGTCCACAATCACATGATGAAGATCTTCTCCATGAAAACGATGGAACATTTAATTATTTACAACCCGTAGACCACAAGTGAAGTTTTGTTAAAGCACCTGTGGAGACGGCATCGCAGCCGTGGTCAAAGAGCTCCCCGAGCGGTGAGCTGCTGTTTGTCCTCCGGGCCTGTTTCCCATCGATGGCGTCCAGAGACTGGTAGATGAAGAGGCCCAGAGCGCTCAGTAAGAAGGCCCAACATGGAGCCTGAGGGGAAAGAGAGAGAGGAGACAGAGCAAGATTTTATTCAGGGAAACCTGCTCAGAAAAAAGACCTGAAACTTCTTCTTCTGTAAAGTGACTCACACTGAGGGGAAGCAAAGAAGAGCTGGAACAATGAGTCAATCGAGAGAAAAGTTATCTGCAGCTATTTTGATCCTAAACTGATAATTCAAAACTCTTCACGCAGTTTACCACTGTCATTTTTTTTATTTGTATTCAGTTACGTATGGAAATAGTTGTCTGAAACATGATCAAAACTTTCAAAAAATAACTATTAAACTAGTTGGATTAGATTCTGTTACTTGCAAGGGGGAGTGAAAAAGTCATAATTTTAAATGGCAGAAAAAAAGAAAAACTAAATCATCCATGTGTTTCATCATTTTATTTAATCCACTGATATGTCGATCATAAAATGTTAACACATTGCATTTCTGCGTCTTATCATCCACACACAAACTTTAGTATCAGTGTGTGTAGTAGGAGTGTGGACAGGGAGGGATTCCCGCTGACAGGAGTGTGTTGGCTCCTCTAACTAGGGTGGAGGTTACCGACCATCTGGACACTAGAGCAGCGCCAACACCGCGTGTTTACCACTACAATGTGAGTGTGTGAGCGCGTGTGTGTGGGACAAAGAACGTCTGTTTTTCCAGAGAGATCAAGAATTCCACACCGTCCTGTCCTAAACACTCAGAGACCCAGCCGCTACTTTCCTCTGACAGATCAGGGTTAATACAGAGGTCACTTCAGGGGAAACTGCTGACGTGCCTGTGATATACTTCTTACAGTCCACGAAGAAGAGTGGACGTAGGACCTGATTTATCGCTGCTTAATAATAAAGTGAAATGCCTTTGCACTCATGGAATTTGACAGTCACAGCGTGCTGCATGGACTGTGGACTGAGTTGTAAGGTTGTCCTAGTTGGATTGGACAAAGGTATACATCTGATAAACACACACACACACACCTATGCATTTCACGCTGAGGCCGCTGCTCCTCAGTGAACCCGGATACACAGGTTAAGTGGCTCAAAGGTCAAGAGTTGGCTCAGCTGTACCCTGCAGCGGCTATTTTTGTATTTAAGGTTCAAAACAGTTTCTGTATCTGTAGCTGATGCTTAGTTAGAGGTGGATCTGGAGTCATTTGACATCAACAGTGGTGTAAACAGACGTTTCTTTGAGTTTCAAGTCACTGCCGTGTTAATTCTATTACCCCAGCAGGAATGAACAGTGAGCCTCCTCTCTTAATGGTGATCTGAGCAAAATCAACATCCTTCTGCAAACTGATGTTTTGCCATCAACAGCTCTGCATCACATGATCTCGGGAAAACCACATGTCACCACATCAACTTTCCCATAGCGAACCCCGTTAAAAACTGTATAATTTAAAGATTCCTGGATTGTATGAGGCCATAGAAACACTGCACCTTAACATGTAAGATATTTCCTGAATCGAGATGAGATAATCTGCAACTCGGCTTATAGTGGCACATAAAGCAGGGTATAAATAACCTTCTGTATTGATTGTGTATGAATTCCTCAAGTCGTGAGCCATAAAACGCCACTGAGGGCGTTAGCGGACAGCATGACCCCCAATAGTGACGTTAGATCTGAAATAACTTCAAAACACAAGTAGCAACGGGGTTCGCGTGTAGGCCGAATTAACAAATAGATTCTGCCGAATTGGATAATACCTCACATCGCGGTGTTTGAAGCACTATGAAGCGAGCGAAAGGCGATACAACTTGAATTCACGTAGTTTCTAAACGGAGGCTTCGCGCTCTCAGTGGGAACTTTCAGCCAAGGTCGCTGAACTCACCTCCTCTGTTGCAGTGGGACAATAATACACGAGCACCACGGTGGACACGATGTTGACCATCAGGCCCACGATGGTCAGCGTGTTCGGGGCGACCCATGTGGGCGTTTGCTGGACGAGCCAGTTCCAGTAGATCTGACACGGGGGCTCGAACAGCGATCGGCCGGACGCGCTGTATTTATGCTCCTCCAGCCGCTTGAGCTGAGCTGCGGACAGCGGCTCCGGCCACAGGGGATGTGGCATGGCTGCTTCTTCTGCCTCGTCACCCTCTCAGACCCGCCGCGACGAGCTCCACAACACACCCGGCGTTAGAGGCTCGGACCACGGATCAGCAGTGTCGGAAAACAGCGGCTCATCTGTCGCTCACGGCACGGGAGGCCATGTTTGCTGCGGAACCAAGAGACAACGAGTCCCTCAACGTTTCCCGGCGAGCGACGTCTCCACCGGAAGCGACGGACCGGAAGGGAAGAAATATGGAAGAGAACCGCCAGGTTTAAACAAAAGTGCAGGACAACAGCAGTCAGGTTAGTTTATAACATTATTATTATTATTATTATTATTATATTATCATTATTGTTATTGTTATTGTTATTATTAGTATTGTTATATTACTATTATTATTATTATTATTACATAATTAATGTATGTACACTAGTTTATAACATTCATGTATAGGATGTGTAAACACAATTTATGTATGTACCTGAGTTTACAAAATTATTAATTTATGTACAGGATTTTAACACAAATCAGTTATAAACAGGATGTGATTAACATAATCTACTTATGTACAGGATTTATTGACCACATGTATTAATTAAACTGAATTTACATATAGGGTTTTTCCAACAAGATTTATATATATATATATATATAATTTATTAACATAATCCAAACATATCCTAATTATGAAATATGTGACAAATTCTTGATGTTACAAACAGAATCACAAGATTACACGTCCATGTTTTTGTCTAACTTTTGTGCCATAATACATTTGTTGGATTAGATTTGTTAGATAAGAAACAAATGAGGTAGATCCACTCTTAAAGAGAACACACAACAGTAGGAGTTTTAAATGAACTATTTATTGTTATTGTGGGTCATAATTACAAAGGTAAAGGCATGCACATGTGTCTGAGCCTCAGTCAAGCTTCAAGTCCAAAATGAATTCAAACATCATAATGTATCATGCAAAATATGGACTGTCTGTAAACCTCTACATTTTCTATTGGACATAATTGACTTATACAGAGTGACATAAACAAATATCAGAGTGGATTATCTTCAGAAGTGTCAACACATTCATTATCCAACATTACTCAAGTCGTTTTTCCGGTTTTCTTTCCACATAGAAGTTATGCAACCCCATACAAACACAAAACCTTTGTTTACAGTGTACATCCCCTTTTCCTATGTTCAACAAACACTCATCAAAAAAAAGAACGTGTAAATACTGTGTGTGTTCTATATGTGCTTCGATATGTGCTACACACGACATGAACTTGTCAAAGCTAGAACCAAAACACTGCTGACATGCATCTGAGCTGACAGTCTTACAAACACAAGAGGGTGACAAAGAAGTGAACTGCCTTTTTTCCCCTATGGTGAAAAGCATGCCACACCACAGACCAGCACGCCTTCTCCCACCCCCTTTTATTCGATCTTGCCATCCCTCCATCCGCTCTCAGGCCGCGAACCTCCGCAGGTGAGGGAAGAGGATCTCTTAATGGCGACAAATGTCTGCAAAGCTAAAGTGTCTCATTGCATTCTGTCCATTTTTTTTTTTTTTTTTACTTCTCCTGCTCGACAACCTTCACCTCGCTCATGTACTTGTCAATCAGGTTGAGGGGCACTCCGCGTTGCATGAGTTCGTAGAAGGTGAAGCCCCCTGGTGGACGAAAGGAAAAAACTCTTATAATAATGGTGGGAGGTACAGAAGGCGGATGTGAAGAAGGAAGAACAGAGAGAGAGGAAGAAGAAAGCTGAGGAGCAACAGGCCGATCAAGCAAAACAAACAAAGCAAAGAACAGAGGCCAGAGGTTCACAACACTGGAGTGAAGAGAGAGAAGACAGGTGGTCAGAATAGTTCATGGATATTGTCCACAGTCAGTTCTAGATTGTCCCAATTCCTCACTATATACTAATTGTCTTGAAGGAGACGTGATGCTTTTACTGTGTTATATTGATTTTTTGGTGGATCTTACAGTTAAGTAGTTAAAAAGGCCAAAATCCCACTAAAGAAAACACTAAAGCTCCTGAAACGCATCAATAGTCCGTCTGATACTTCCTCGTCATTGTGACGTCACAAAGAGCGGAGGCCGACATTTCGTTCATGTGCTGGAAGCGGTTCACCAATCACAACAGAGTGGGGCCAGCTGGCCAATCAGAGCAGACTGGGCTTTATCAAGAGGGGGCCTTAAAGAGACAGGAGCTAAAACCAAGTGTTTCAGGCAGAGGCTGAAAAGAGGAGCTGCAGCAAAGGACGTTATGAGGGATGTGATGTTTTCTGATTTGTTCATTAGAAATCTACCCAATTTTGTGCCTTTTCATCTGCTAGGGATTTAGATATTTCCCTTGCTAGTTATACTATATTAATCTCTGTGTTTTCACATTGGATTCTAGACGTAACATTAACCTGCTAACAGTTAGTGTGTAGTAGGGAACTGGGACAGAGCTTTATCTGCTTAGGTTCACAGAACTTGAAGAAAAGATATCTGACTGCAAATGACCACATGTAAAATTGTTGCATTGCTAAATAATGTCTTTCGTCATCTGCAACAAGCCAAAGCCTGCAACAGGGAAAAGGCTGTCTTCACTAATCAGGCAGTTGCAAACACGACATGGAAAATACCCACTGTTAGTTTGATCCTGTGTCTATAAACATGTATATAGCAATTAAATCAGGCAGTTTCCACAGATGCTGCTCTCGATAGTTAGAAAGTTGGCAAAACTTTTTTTACTCACCTTTTCTGTGGCTCAAGCTACATGAGAGGTTGTCTTTAAATTCACATAATTTCAATGTAAATATTCAAAACAGTTGGTTAAAGTCAGCCAGCTAATTCTCAACATTTAGCAAAAGCCGTCATGCAAATCCAGTTTTATTTCTCTGGTTCCTGTTTTGTCATATTGGGGAAGAGAACTGCTACAGTCCCACTGACTGTGACGAGCGAGGTTACAGAGGCTGGCTGAGAAGATGCATAATGAGTGACATAAGCTTCATATGCCAAAACCATATGAAAGCTTACCTTATGTGAACATACATTCACAATTCTTGAGTTTGGACTGGGGGAGAGAGAAGAGAAGAGGGGTTAACACAATGTTTACATGGAGTTATATGTGTGCACCAGGGAGTATTGTTGAGTTATTACTGAACTATTTTATATGAGGAGTTAACGGTGTGCCACAGAGGACACACTGGAATCTGTGGAGAACAGTTTTAAGATGGAGACATTCAATAATACAACATGATCTATATGTTATGCCTGCTGAGGTGTGACTGGTGACAGGCTGTCGTCCTGTCCACGCTAATGCAGATATTTTGCAAAGCAAACTTTTTCCTTTGATTCTCTCATCCACACACAAACAGCGCCTGAGGTCACTAAAACAGATTTTTGCACGCCCTCCAAAGTGCAGATTTTCAAGAACTCCGTTTAGGAAGTGATGATGTCACAGCACTTTGGTTACATTTGGTTAGTTTGGTTAGCAATGCAAATTGTAATTACAGGTTTGCAGCTAAATTTTGCATGGATATATTTTGTTAAACAAAGTTTGTGCGGACAGAGACAGAACTGAAGGGGAAATATCCGCTCAAAGAAATACCAGCAGTAGCGTAGACGAGGCCTGTGTGTTGATGTGGTGTGTGGAGATGATGAACAAGATGGCTGGATGGACTGGGCTGGATAGAGGTGTGTGACAACACAAGGTGATGGAGAAATTTCACCAAACTTCGCACACAGGAACGGATTATATTTACATCTACTTTGAAAATGGTGTCCAGTGTGAATCTGTTTGTCTCTAAGAACTCAATGAATTTACAAATAGCTGGTGCAACCCAATCTAGATACTTACATGTCCATGGCCACATGGTCAGTCCTTTGGTAGACTGTAAAACACAGCTCAAACACTGGGGTACCACGATGGAGTTGGTTTCCCAAAGTAGTCTTTGCTATTTGACTATGAATGCTATGATGACAGTAAATGGTTCAGTCATTTGCCTTTAAGATGCAAAGACATGAATAATAAACAGCAGAAATTCAATTAAACAAGAACACGTTGTGAAACCAGACTCTGATAAAGACAGGTCCCCAGTGAGAAACACAGCGCCGGCCTCTGGCTCCACACTGACCTTTGACCTCCAGCTTGCACTCCACATGGGCCTCTCCCAGGTCGTTGATGGCCTTGCAGGTGTACAGACCACCGTCATAGGGGCTGGGCTTTCTGATCTCCAGAGTACATACTCCCTGGTTGCTAAACATGCGGTAGCGTGGGTCGTCAACAATGATGATCTTATTCTTCATCCAGATGACCTTGGGCTGCACGCAGAAATGGAGGATGTTATTCCAGCAGACACATTGGAGAAGGCATTTTAATACTGTAGCTTTAATGCTAGAATCTATTTCTCTATTTCTTGCTGTAGGTTTTTATTTATCTATTTTATGAGCTGTCAACAGACTGAATTGTTTTGTTGTGATGTATATGGTTCATTTGTTCTCAGGTCCCCTGTAAAGCAGCTCCTGAATGAATAGATCCACCAATTAAATAAGAAGTCTGCTGAGCCAAGAATCAGATTATTGCAGGAAATTTAAATGTGATTGCAACAGAAATGTCAATCAGTTCTAATGTAAACTAAATCTGCAAATTGAATTTTATATGCCATTATTTTTCATTTTACTAATCTGGTTTGTTTAAAACAGTAAATAATTTGATGAGTACAATATCATTATTTCCAGTAAAAAATTCCTTTCAAGTTTCAACTCAATTGATATCTAACACTCTTTATGTATAAAGGGTGATCTACTACAACATGCTAGAGTTGTATATCAACCTTACCTGAGTGTGTTCTACACATGCACCATGTTTACCTGTGGTTCTCCCACCTACCCTTGGGTTGGCACGGACACTACAGTTCAGAGTAGCATTGTAGCCCGCGATGGCAAAAGTGTTGATCAGCGGCTGCGTGAACTTTGGCGCCTCCTTGAAGTCGTGGTCGTTGTACTCGGGTGTCTTCACCTGCAAGCCTGTGGGGGTAAGGGTAAAGGAATGGGGTTGTGCATGATACTGAGTGGTATCATGTGGGGAAATCCCTATGTGATGAGGGAAAGACAATGTTTCTTTATTTATCAGCGACTGAGACACCAACGTTTAAGGGCCTGTCAGTCATAGCCCGACCCCCTGTTGTGTTTGAGGGTGGAAATCATCACTGACAGAACCTTTC